GTAAGGAACAACAGCAGCCCACAGTATTTTCCCCAGAGACAGAAACATAACCTTATTCTTGTCACAGCTCAAAAAGAAAAAAAAAATGGAATGCAGAATTTACACAGAATTCTTAAAACATGTTTTATCTCCATTGTCAGTAACCCCCCGCAGACCAACTTTTACTTTGATTCCTTCAGTAATTTCCCTGTGTAAGAGAGCAGCAGATCATGGCTGGTCTATTTTATCTATCAGTCAAATGGTAATTTTCTTAATGTTTGTTACCATAGCACCCACAGCCTGTGCTCCTCTGCTGCCTCTGTTTTCTTCAGCTTGGTGCACTGTTACAGGTAAGCAATCAAGGATTTCTCCAGGGGACTCTGGAATGAGGCGAGGGAGTGTGGAGAGGGAAGCCCACGTAATTACCACGATGACGGGTTGACATCGTAGAATCCAAAAACGACTTCCACCCCCTCGCTTTAAAGATGAAACAACTGAGTTTCTAAAATAGCAGCGCATTATGCGAACGGAGCTTGCAAACCCAACAGAACCCACCTTGACAAATTTTAGCTCAATACTGCCTAACATTAAATGACATGTTTCACCCTGACAGCACTTCAGAATTTCTTCCCAATTAATTTTTAAAACATTTCTTTAGTCACGTGTCAGTTTTATACTTTAACAGAAAAAAAAATCAAGAGCGATCTCAGGCAAACTGTCTTTCCTTTTATCTCCTAAGACAGGATTGGAATTAAACATATTCGCGGGGATGCCCTTGTCATCAAGATCCATGGTTAGAACATTTGGTTGTGACCTTCTGTAACATCCTCAATCAGAGCATTCTATAGTGATGGACATGCATTCTCAGATATTTCATTTTTTAAAGTAAGTTCCTGGCTTAGTAAAGGATCATAGGTACACAAAGTAGCAGATGATGAAAAAAATATATACATTTAAAACTTCCAAATTTGGAAGATGGTGATGTGGACACCATAAAGAAATGATGCAAAAGATACTAAATTTAATAAGTGTGACCAAAATGGTAAATAACTCCTGATCATTTACAGAAATTGTTTGTTGATTCCAAGGGCTGATATTAATTTTTTTGTGAATAATTGAAATCCTAGGATTAGTATATAGCCAATAAGACAATGAAAGGAAGAACTTGAGGTCCTCTAAGATGCTGGGTACAATGGACTCGAAGAAAATGAATCACTGTGCCACTGGTTTGCCACTAAGGAAAAGCACCTTGAAGAAAACTGATGCTCACGTGGACAGTGTCTGTCATCAGGCCATATGCAGTTACATGCTCACAGAATACTTTTTTTGAGGTAGATAAGAAAAGTAAGGAAAGAATCCTCAATATCCTAGAGGGAATTCTCCATCCTTCTGGAAGCTGTGAATTGGATGCATTTCAAATAGCAGGAAAACCATCATAATTAAATTTGTTGAATTGAAAGGAATCACCACCTATTCCTTTAATTCTTAGTGAGAAATGATTGCATTTTTAACATCTAGAGTGGAAATCAAACACTTTGTGATTTTTTTCAAAAAGAAAAATTGCTAGAGGTAAGATTAAGGTCAACTTGGCAAATTCTTTTTGATGTCACTGTGTTTAGTGATCCTCATTGTATCTAACTCAGTTAGGGGACATCCAACAGAACTACTGTGAACATGTGAAGTTGCTATGAGCTCGCCATCCAACCTAAGGCCATCCAGGTAGCCTTCGGTTATCAGCAGCCAACTGGGAAACTAGAAAAGTAGTTCCATTTCTCTTCTGTATTTATTCTGGTCCTTCCTGAGTACAGAAGACATTTCATGCAAAATGCATCAAGGTACCCGAGACGGCTCACATTTACTTCCAAACTTATTTATAATGTAAACTATTTAAAAATTCATGTACATTTGTAGGAGATGGGCATCCAAAAACGTGCAACTTAAAATCTGGGAACAAAGTATACGCACATGTCTCACTAGTTTCCTTAGAAGCATGACAAGCCACTCCACAGCGTAGCCAGTGGCCCTCTGGGAGCTGTCCTCTATTCTAATATCATCCAAGATGAAAGCCGTTCGGGGGCCATATCTGGGACTCTTATGAGCAGCAGACAGGCAGCTGTGATGGACAGGAGTAGAAATCTCCTTGCTCACGTTCAGCAGTGCACTCTTTCGTTTTTTCTTTCTTTTGAGATAGGGTCTCGCTATGTTGCCCAGGCTGGAATGCAGTGGCAGGATTACAGCTCACTGAAATCTCCAGCACCTGAGCTCAGGCAATCCTGTCTCTCTGCCTTCCAAATAGCTGGGACTACAGATGCACACAGCTGTGTCTGGCTACTTTTTTAATTTTTAATTTTTTGTAGAGGCAGGGTCTTGCTATGATGTCCAGGCTGGCCTCGAACTCCTGGCTTCAAGCAATTTTCCCACCTCGGCCTCCCCAAATTGTAGGGATTACAGGCATGAGCCACTGCATCTGGCCTCGTCAGTACACTCTTAAGGGACGCCGGTAACCAATGATGGGAAATAATGGCTGTTGTTATAAACACAGATGAGGATACTTCCGAGAGGCGTGGGCTACACTTTAGATAAGAAGTTCAATCTGAAAATTATTATCTTTTTTGTCAGGTTGTTCTCTGCAGAACTTCAAGGTAAAATGACTTCAGAATTTATTCTGTGTCTTTTTAAGCAATTTAAAACTAAAATGACCATTAACCCAATTGAAAGTGACATAAGAACAGTGAGGTTTCCAAATGTTCAGTAATGAGATTATCCTGGGAGCCTCTCAAAGAGATGGCATTTTTCACTGTATCTGATGAAAAATCTCTCTTTTCCTGTCATTTTTCCTTAATGATGTAGCTATGGCTATGAAAATGTTGTTTTTACCAAACTCGAAAACAATTAAAAATGCAAATTGCATTCTCTGCCCATGTTGTGAAGTGAGAGATTTAATTCTACCCCAGCATTCTGAATGTGTATGGGGAAGGGGGTGAACATTCAAACATACATTTCAGATTCACAAATACAGATACATTTAGGAAAAAGATAACATGCAAACACCTCGCCCTTCATTTGGGTTTTCTATCTACTTTGAGAACTTGGTTTGAAAACTATTGTTTTTCTCTAAGACAAAAGCCAGTGTGAGTGTAAATGCATAAATACAACCTGTACATAAAAATCCAATAGCTTCTCCGAAGTCCTAATGTCACAGCACTTCATTGTCCCTCAATAAAAAAAATGAAGGCCTTATCTTGATGGTTATTTGTGGAATGTTCTATGAGAAATTCAACATGAATTCATAGCCTGTGTCTGGTGAATTTTGTCTCAAACTCAAAGCAAGAAGATACTGATTTCCTCCTTCCTTTACTCCTTCCTTCCTTCTTTTTCTCCCTTCTCCCCTCCAGCAGAGAGGAACTACATAAAAAACGACTTAAGCATCAAATCAGCAGAATAACACACAGGACTGTGAAATTATTGTACGTTTCACTTTCCTGGGTAAAATAGTTGTAGCTGGTTAGTGACATAACTTCCTCTTCTCCCTTATCTGTAATCCTTGCAGCAAATCCACATGGGGTGGGGTTGGTCATTGCACTTTCTAATTTAACAGTGAAGGGGCGGTATCTCCGAGAGAATGCACAAAAGAAACAGAATGAAGTCTGAGGCTCCTGATCTTCAGTCACGCATTCTTCCCACAAGCTTGGGCAGCATAAGAAATACTAATCCAGGCCAGGCACGGTGGCACACGCCTGTAATTCCAAGACTTCTGGGAGGCCAAGGCAAGTGGGTGGATCGCTTGAGGTCAGGAGTTGGAGACCAGCCTGGCCAACACGGTGAAACCCAAACACAAAAAATACAAAATTAAAAATACAAAAATTGGCCCAGTGTAGTGACACATACCTGTAATCCCAGCTACTTGGGAGGCTGAGGCACGAGAATCACTTGAACCCAGGAGGTGGATTTTAAAGTGAGCCACAATCACACCACAGCACTCCAGCCTGGGTGACAGAGTGAGACTCTGTCTCAAAAGAATAAGAAGAAAAAAAGGAAATACTCATCCAGTACTTAGGGAGAGCTTTGGCGGACAATCTCTTGATAGCTTATCACTTAGAATACTATGGCTAATGAATAGGTATGTAAATAAGTGATGCAAAAATAATTTGATACGTTCTCATGTTGAGCAACTTAATATGTCACTCTGTTTTACAGGAGTTTGGTAAGTCTAATGTAAGAAGAGAATTTTCATGTTTCTCTGCCCATGTGATAGTGTTTTATCCTTAAACTTGAAAATTAAACATGCTACAACTCCAGCCACATAGTTACAGGGACGTCGTATAGCACTGTCTCTACAAAAAGAGAACGCAGAGCCCCAACTCTGATTGTCAAAACACCCTGGCAAAGTATCTTGTTCTTACCGTCTAATTATCTTTTGGTTTTTTTTTTCAAAAAGACTCTTTTTTGCTGAAAGAAGTAGACACTGTTTAATGGATAGACTTGTGTGGCTCCAATAGACACACACACACACACACACTCACACACACACACACACACAGTCGCAGATATTTTTAATGTTCTTAATACTTTCTACAGATAAAATAACATAAAAATTCTCAGAAAATTAAAAAATAAAGAAAATAGGCAAGGAGACATAAACTTCTTGCTAACTTGAAAAGCATGATCTCACTGGCCTTATCATGTCTTCTGTTCTTATGTAATTCAAAGGGAATGCAGGCAGAATGTCACCTACGCTAGGTCACATGGAAGCATATCTAATGATTGCTAATATTTTGCCATCATTTGTGTACAGTTAATAACTGTGGTCTCAGTTATAGATAGACCACGTGGCACAGCAAGTGAATCATTTCCAGACCAGTCGAGGGGAGCTTTTGGTGCTTCTGTTAGTGAACGTGCGGAAAACTACCAGTCGCCTCTTCAAGGTTATATCCGTGGAAGGAAACAGCAGAGCAAACAATCATCACCCAAGAAAGCAAAACCACCGGAGACCGTGTGCGGACTCCCAGCCGGCACTGTACCTGTGCAGATGAAACTGGAGAGGCCTCCGTAGATGACTTCGTCATTGTCAGGCAATATAAACGGACACCTCGTCTGAACCTCCAAACAGTATTGCTTGCAAGGAATTGTCTTTCTGCAGTTAAACTGTGTGACTTCAAAATACTGGGAACAGAGCCAGGCTTTGTAGACAATCTGAAAAAGAAAAAAAAGAGAAGAATGAAAAATATAGAGGTGTGACAGCAGTTAGACTGATGGAGGACACCGGCACGGAGAAGCATGCACGCGTGCTGTGGTTTCCAGCGGATCCTCAGAAAGGATCATTGCGAGAAAGGGAATCACACAAGGGCAGCTGCAGGCCATAGAAACATAGCAACCAAAGTCTTCGCAGCAAAAGCAAAACAGTATCTGATTGCGTCCCTAATAGAATGTGAAAGGTAGTCTGGCCTTTATGTGCATGTGGCTCATCTGAAAAACAGTGGATTTCAGCAGGAGGTTACGTTTTCAAAATCCACTGATGTGTAAACTACAATGAATGGCCCTGTGGCTCTGCTGTGGGTGGTTATTTGCCGCAATGGGCTGGAGGGTCGGTGCCCTCCGCGTGGAGGCCCACGTCTATGCCTCCATTGGACGCTAGATGGCGCGAGGCACTTTACAAAGAGGGCCCAGCAGGCCTTGGCAAACTGCTGGCTGGGTCTTGGACTTTCAGAGGCACAGAACAGGCAGAAATGGACGTTTGCATTTGTGACTCACACCAAGTGCATTAGAAATCTCACTGTCTGAAAGCCCAGAAATACCCAGCATAGATCAGACATCCTATGCCGTGGTGTGGTTAGGAGTAGGAGGGAAACCTCATCAGAGCCCCAGCTTCAACCTTCTCGATGATGTGCAAGCCACATCAATGTTTGCTATGTATTTATATAACGCCATCAAACGGGAAGGGATTGGGGCTTCATTCATCTCTTTGTTTGGGTGGCTGTTTGGGAAAACAAACCTTGAAAAAATTGCCTTTTTCTGATCCAAGGGAATAAGCCGATCTTAAATTAAAATAAAACAATGGCAGATGTACCCATCTGCAGCCTAGCTCACTGAAATTCAGTTATCCTCCAGGTTCTTGGCACAAATGGCTTTTATTTGTCTATTTCTAGGGTTAGTACTATCCAAGCAACATTTTGCCAGTTATATTTTACCTAGAAAAATGGAGGCTCTGCAGTTAAAGATGGCCTAAGAGAGTATAAATACTTAATAATAACAAGAATAATAGCTAGTATTTATCAACTTTATACTCTTTTCTAAGTAAGTTATAAACTTTTTTCCCATGCAATTCTCAGCATGCACTTTTGGCATAACTACTAGTCACATTTTGGACAGGAATAATATTAAGTAATAATAATAAGTAATGGAATTGGAAATTCCAGACTTCAAGCCCATGTCTGTAGGACCCCAAAGACTGTGTTCCTAATAGTTATTCTATATTTAATCTGAAAACTACTTTTAAAGCACTTATGAAATCACAAGGGAGTTTGCAGATGGACCTAAAATCAGCGTGGCCCTCCATGCCCAGGGTCAATATCCATTTGGTATAAGGAGGATTGTGTATTTGTATTCATAACTTTATATTAGGTTGATCAAAGTGAAACTTTATTCTGTGATCAAAGTGCCTCAGTCGAGGTAAAATGAGATAAATGTCAAAGTGATATACACTTTTAAATGGCCAAAAGTAATTTTTCTTTGCCCGTCATCAATGGCTCACAATCACCATGTAACTTGTTAGTAAAACATACAAATAGTTAGAATTCTTATAGGCCTTTTGAATGGGTCTTCACATAACCATGTACATTGAAAAATTGCATTAGAGGAAAGTGTTATGATAACTGAAGAAACCTCTAAGAATTCCAATGCCAACTGGGAAATGGAAGTGGGCTGTGGGTGTGCGCCTCGGGGGACAGGTGAAGGTGGAGTGGCGCCGGAAGGAAGAGGCTGGAAGCACCAGCTTCAGAAGAGAAGAGGAAATGATTTCTTAACCAAACTGTGGGGAAGTTGAAAACATTTTTCGAAATGCCATAGACATTGACATTTGTGTAATATGACATGATATGTAACATGACATGACATTTATTATGTAAACTAAGCTGTAATATAAGAATGAGCCATGTATACTCTGATTCCTGGGCTTCACGACCTTTCTCAGGTACTAGAGGAAGGAGGGTAGGCTCCTACCTGCGGTTCAAACCACAACATTCCATTATAAGAACAGCTTGCATTCCGCACACTTCTGGGATTCTGAAGTCTAGAGTTATCTGCTTTTCTTTAAGGAATGCCCTTATGTAATTCCAGAAAGTAGCTCCTGTTTTCATTGGCCAAACTGTGGTCCCCATTCCCACCACTCCCCCACCGGTTGCCTTTACACAGTTATTCAAGTTAACATGGGTTCTAAATATGGAATTGCATCTTGTAGTCATAAACTCTTAAGAAACAATGTCTCTTTCTAGATCCTTGAGAAATCACCACACTGTCTTCCAGGGTGGTTGAACTAATTTACACTCCCACCAGCTGTGTAAGACTGTTCCTGTTTCTTCACATCCTCTCCAGCATCTGTTGTCTCCAGATTTTTTAATGATCGCCATTCTAACTGATGTGAGATGGTATCTCAATGTGGTTTTGATTTGCATTTCTCTAATGACCAGTGATGATGAGCATTTTTTCATGTTTGTTGACCTCATATATGTCTTTTGAAAAGTGTCTGTTCATATCCTTTGCCCTCTTTTGAATGGGGTTGTTTTTTTCTTGTATATCTCTTTTAGTTCTTTGTAGATTCTGTTTCTTAGCCCCAGCAATCCCATTATTGGGCATATACCCAAAGAACTATAAATCATCCTGCTATAAAGACACATGCACATGTATGTTCATTGCAGCCCTGTGTACAATAAATAGCAAAGCCCTGGAACCAACCCAAATGCCCATCAATGATAGACTGGACAAAGAAAATGTGGTACATATACACCATGGAATACTACGCAGCCATAATAAATGATGAGTTCATGTCCTTTGTAGGGACTTGGATGAATCTGGAAACCATCATTCTCAGCAAACTGACACAAGAACAGAAAACCAAACACCACATGTTCTCACTCATAGGTGGGTGTTGAACAATGAGAACACGTGGACTCAGGGAGAGGAGCATCACACACTGGGAGCAGTTGGGGGATTAGGGAAGAGACAGCGGGGGGTGGGGAGGGATAACATGGGGAGAAATGCCAGATGTAGTATGCACCTAAAGTTAAATAAATAAATTTTAAAAATGTATTAAGAGGGTAGATCTCATGTGAAGTATTTTTTACCACAATTAAATAAAATTTTAAAAAAAGAAACGATGTCTCCCTGTCCGCCCCCCAATCCTGTATTGAAGTCTCTTCATATCTACACATCCTCTTTGCAAACACTTTTCTCAGCATTGCCCAGTTGGAACAGATCCATTTTTATTCTAGTTCCTTCAATTCTATTTCCACTATATTTCCTTTGCAGATTTTTTTTTCACTCAAAGAAAAATAAGATACTAGTAAGGGATCACAGCAGGTTGTTTTTTAAGTATCGGGTAGCAGTAGTTATGAAGAAAAGTGATCGATCATCATTTGCAAAGCCACCAGCAGACTTTACACTGGGCTATGATGATCTCTCCAGCCTGGCTCCATTGTGGCCTCTGTCACAAGCTCCCTCCTGGGCTTTGAGTGTGCAATGGAGATTACTCATTTGAATATTAAATATTTTCTAAAATTTTAGCTCTACGGATAAGATACATCAGAAAGCAAGTAGAGGAAACCATGTGAGCTGAGTCGAAATCTGAAGGATGGAGGAGAAATATTTTATTGCTACTTAAGAGATTAAGGCTGAGAAGCAGACTTTATATAACTAAAGGATATATCTTTTCTCTGTGTAGATGTGTTTACAATAAAAGAGATAAGGCATACAGCACGTTTGCTAAAATATTTCAGAATAAACTGGAAAAAGTTTGCATGGGAAGTAAAAATAATTCTGGAATCCTGAAAAAGATTACTTGAAAGATGAAATAGCATGTTAGTAAAAACCCGAAAACTGTGGTACGTTAAGAACAGAGAACACCTGAGAACATACTATGGCTAAGAGAAAATGAGGGGTGGGACTCTTACTGTTATCTCCAGCGAGGGAACAGCTGTGTGCTGATGAGGATGGCTTTAAAAGATAAATTGTGGAGTCAGAACGTAAAGACAAGAGGAAAAACAAACAGGTAGATATCAGCATGATGTAAAGACGCGCTTTCCTGCCAGAAGAGATACACAGAAATAAAATGAGCTATCTTGAAAGATGCGGAGTTCTCTATAACTAGAAAACTTCCAATAGACTTTCCATAACTCTTGTCAAAACACGGTGAGGAGGATTCCTATGTGAGGAAGGTGAGACACGTCCATGGCTCCGGGACACCTCCCAATGTCTTTCTAGAAGTTTTTGCAGAGGGAGGTTGAGGAAGATGTGTTGTGGTGGCACAGGGCTATAAGAACGAATGGACTAAATCTTAAAAGTCGTAAAGAACTTTCAAACAAAATCCCATCATGAAAAATGAATACATTCATCTTATTTCAGAAGAACTATGGAGTATAATGAAGCCAGAAGTCTTTTTTATAATGGCTTCGCCTTCTCCTATAGAGAGAAATACTAGGTCAATTGCTTTTCTATGTGTCACTGCAGAGTATGAATAATTATATGAAATGAAAGAATAATTGTGGGAAGGAATAAAAATGTGTGCAAGGTCTCCAGTGACAGAGTAATGGCGAGGTGACATCCACCCACTCTCCCCCTTGATGGCTCGTGCCTCCTTCTACCCAAGAAGCAGCTTGGTTTGTCAGGTAATTTTGTTCTTAAAGGGTATTTCAAATGACCCCCGCCCCCACGCTTCTCCCGCATGTCCTCTGGAAATGACTATTGACTATGACAATCTTTGCTGGACAGCTGCCCACCACACAGCGTTCTTGAGGTGTTGTCTACAAGAGGGCGCACTACACTCTAACAACGATGGCCCAAAGGAGAGCATCATTTTTACTTAAAACATGAATAATACTTGAATCGATTTTTCTCTTTCTCCCGAGGCGTTTTCTCTCCTGCTATCTTTCCTCATAAAACCCTGAGACTTGTTTGGGAAGTGTTTTACAAGTAAGGACACT